GGGATAAATGGTGGTGTGTACAGGGGTTTGGTAAGAGGTTAGGAAGTTTGATTTGATGTGAGACCAAATAAAAATGAGTCCTTTCAATCACTGACTGCCCCTGTCACAGCATTGCTCTCGGGGAGGACATGGGTGTCACCACAGTCTCTGCCCTCTCTCCTGGCCACTCCAGTTAAGGAGACCAAACTACATTGGAGTGCGTCCTGGTCCCCAGACAAGTCTCCCCAGGGAACCAAAGGTCTTATGCCTCTTTCATTCTCCAGTGGCCCCATGGAAGGGCTTCTTATAATCTGAGACTTTTGGACTGTGGAAATCAAGTCACCCTAATGCCCAGGGGCTTAAATCCATGAGATGCCAATGCACCAATGAGATGGGCAGTAGTGGCAGCTGCCACAATGTGGGCATTACAAAAACTAATTTGTTGAACAGCTTAAGGGATTGGATCAGATCCAGGGATGGCTCCACTCCCATAGTACTGCCCACATCCTAGCTTTCACAGTTGGCCAGGGGGCTGTCTCTAACACAATCTACTCCCCCCGTTTGGCACCATCTTAGTGGGTGACACAAGTCCCATGGTGTGTGAAATAGACAGGTGTTGTTATAGGAGTTGCTGAATGCCAGAGTCCTCAGGCAAACCTCTCAGTTCAACAGTCCTATTGGGACATCATGGAAGGACAGTGGCACTTGGAGACTGACCACAGGTGACCTCAGCCTGAAAGAAGAAGTTGATTTGATGGCTCTGGTTGTCCCTGAACTTGTGACTATTAAAGAGGTACTGGTGTCCATGCTCAGAGACTGGTATGTGGTGAATATTTGGCTCTGCTTTCTTCTCAGGTCCTAGTCAGATAGGAGACTAGGACAGTAGACTAGTGCCTTCACCTGACCAGGCAACTGGTCTTTTATGGTCCTATGACCTGGCCAGCTTAACTGTCCTGTCAGTTACCCCCAAGGGTGGCATGGACTCTAACTAAATATAAGCTTCCTCCAAAAGTGAAGGCAATCCATTATTTATGACCTCCTGTTGGTATGCCCTAATCAGGAAGCTGAGATCCTATCCTTTAACATATGAATTTACTAATTAAGCTATGATGCTTGGGCCACTAACCCAGACAAAATTCAGGTAACCCTGCCCCTGGACCTCCTTCTGGCTGATGATAATACCCTACTGCAAGTATCTATTAATGACACCAATGCAATGTGTCATCTATGGCCACAAGATGAAGCCAGAGTGCACTTGCTCTTAGGGTGCCAGACCCCAGCACTGAATGGAACCATGTCGAGCTATACCTCATTTGAAAAAACAACTCCTTCTTGATCCTAGACTCTAGTGGAAACTGAAAGGCTGACTGGAGACATTCCAGGTACTCTTGGCCAAAAATTCCAATCTTTCAATGGTGCTGACTAGTGCCAAATCCCTTCAGGCAGGTAGAGCCCAAGAATCATCCATCATCAAATGGAAGTGTCATATTCAGAGCTAAGCCAAGCCAGGCACAAGGGGAGTTAGCCACCTATTGAGACCTTGCTTAGCAATAGGCTGCCACAGAAGCTAGTCTTCATGGACCTCCAGTGAAAGCCCTCTTACAACCTGGGACCCTTGGTTTTCTGAGCTCCCAGAAGCAGGAGGTGCTTGGTTCTCAGATGGTACAGACCTCCTTAAACATGGTCAAACTCATTGGAATGCCACAGCAGTACAGTCAGCTGACAGGTCCATCTACTGTGCCCATGGCACCACCCAGTCCACTCAAGGACAGAACTCCAGATAGCTCTCCTGCTGCTTGAGTCGTCCACCACAAAAGAGATATTTCTCTTCACTCATTCCTGTGCAATAGCTGATGGTCTTGTTGTGTGGTCAGACCAGTGACAGGCTACCAACTGGATGGCAAATTCATCACCTCTTTGGGGAACCTCACTGTATTGAAGTATCTCCTTCAAGCTCAACAGCTGGACACTCTACATGACTCATGTCTGCCCACAAGAAACGACCATTCCCAGAAGAATATACTGGAATAGGCAAGTTGACCAGGACTGTGAAGCTCCAATACTTCTTGTCATTTCCTACTTGGCTGCTTTCCTGGACTTCATGATCTCCAAAACCTCATCATTTCATCACAAAATGAAATCAGTTGGGAAACTCACTCCTCAGCATGTCCTGCCCCTGGGGCTCCTGTCTTCCTCTGGTTGGAAAGGATAGTGGGGTGGATATCTAGGAGCTCCACCCAGATCCTCCAGCATTTAAGGAGGGCACCTAGAGAATTCACCTAATCATTTCCAACCCACTGTTTTCCTGGGCTTCATGATCTCCTAATAACTCATCGATCCTTAAGATGAAATCTATCAGAAACTCTTCATTCTTCACATCATTTCCCACCTCACTGTAGCACTTGAGAGCATGTTTCCCACCAGGTAACCTCCTCCACAACCTCCTTTTCCATTTCTTTTTATATGTTGTCTTCCCCATTAGGTTGTGAGTGCCTTGAGGGCAGGGACTGTCTTATGCTTTTCTCTAAGCAGATAAGCACCTGGCACATAGTAGGTGCTGAATGAAGTTTATTGAATTTTGGTCCATGGTAATGTGAAAACTATGCAGCAGAGGACCCATAAGAGAAGCCTCTATATCACCCATGAGGACTGTGGTGCCCATCCACAAAGACTGTGAAACTTGTCAGCTCCAATGCCACATACAAAAGCCCTTACTAGTAAGACACCAAAAGGATGTAGCCAGCACCCCCTGGACAATGGACTCTATAGGACTGGGGCCACAATAAAGAGGTCTCTGGTATACTCTGATGGCTGTCGGCACCTATCAAGGGCATTGGCTGAGGAGGGGTCAGTGCCACACTAACAGCCTGAGCTGGTACTGAGTGTAGACAATGGCACAAGTTTCATGTCAGCAGCCACTCAACATGAGCAAAACCATAAGATATATCACATGTCTATTTCATGTCCCACCTCACTCATAAGTAGTAAGGACTGTGGAATGATGCAAGAGGCTGCTCAAGTCGACCATAAAGACGGTAGGCCCTAAGCAAAGTCTGAAATGCTGAATCAACAGGCTTCCAAGAGCAGTCTTCCACCAACAATGCAATGCCAAGAAAGACAGTTGGTTACCTCTCTCTTTTCTCCTTGGAAACCCTGTGTCAGAGGATGAAAAGGAGGCAAAGAACATATCAAGCCAATACTGGAACTCATAGACCAGATAACAGATGTTTTTGGTTGTATAAATCCACATCCAGACATCACTTTCTTTTTTCCACCACAAGTTGAGAAAATGGGAGTTGCAGCTTCTTTATGGCAGGCTCCACAAATACATGGGTGCCAACAACAACTAAGATGCCTTAAGCCCTTCAGTCATTTTTACAATTGCTCATATGGGAAAGGTGTTGACAGTATTTTCTCTCCCCAAAATCATTCATTTCCCCCAAGAACCTAAACTGCAACCAGAGGAACTCACAGGGAGCAGAGAGCTAGTTAGGAAATTACTCTGACCTTGTTCATCCACCCAGAGAGGTGAATGGAGAAATGTAGTGGAAAGATACAGGGAGTGAAAGGTGGATTCCTAAGGAGAAAGTGGCTCAGGGGATAGACAATATACTGTAGCTAATGAAAAAAAAGAGAGGAGATGTTTATATTAGCAGGACAGGAAGCCACTGGAACCTGTATACCAGAGACAGATGAGGAATTGGGGCAGAGGAGAAGGAGATTATCATTAATTATCCGTTTGATTAACAGATCAATTATACTGATTCATTAATAATGCCTGGGTCCTACTCTTTCTCTTGATGATTTCCTTGATTTCTCTGGTTTGTGACCAGTTCCATTAATTCACCACTGTCCCTTCACTTTACCATGAAGTTAGTATTGAGGATATGAGTACTCCTGGGGCAGCCTTGGTCTGAGGCCTCCAGGGAGCTCTACCACAAAACTAGAATACGTTAGTGAGGCTGACCCAGGTGGTTGCCTCAGCAGGGAACCTTGTGGTATGCTGGGTTTCTGACCCAGGAATACCTGATGGACAGATGCAAGGTTTACCATTTAACTTCACTCAGGGTGCTCATCTCCACACACATACCCCCAACCCCCACCCTTCTATCAGAGGAATATTTCACCTGCCGTTTATGATTTCTGAGTGAAGAGTCAAACAGGATTTCAGCCCACCACCTGATGACTGGCCAATAAGGCAACTCCCCTGAAGTGGAAAGAGCAGTTTTGGACACAATATTAACCAAAGAACCCTTGGTTCAGATTCATAAAAACCTGGTTACCAAATTGAAACCTCATCAAATAGATGGTAAGTATATATTGATATATTTAAAATACAGTTTTAAATTACTTGTTTGCATAATTCTTTTTCAGTTGTTTTCACATTTAATTTATACTTTGCATGCTTTGGTAAAAGGGAAATGTCTGTGGGATGTGTGTGTAGTATGTCTTGTTTTGCATTTGAAGCATTTGAAAATTATTGGAGCTATTAAACACAGTCATTTAAATTTCTTTAAATAAACATATATGTGAAACAAATGATAGAAATTATCTTTAGCAAGTACGAATTTAATAATTTTTTTAAACTTAAACTCACCAAAAATATGTTATATATTCAACATGTGCAAAGGCCTGGAGACTCAGAGAATAGGAACATAGTTCTTGTCCTATTCCATAGTTCTTGTTAAAAATTAGAAATTTCATTTAAACAAATTACATGAAGTTTAAGGTTCTTTTATTAATTTGTTTTACATAGGTGTTTCAGTTTATGTGGGATTGCTGTTGTGAATCTGTAATACAAAGAAAGAAATCACCAGGCTCAGGATGCATTCTTGCCCACTGTATGGGTCTTGGAAAGACACTACAGGTAAGATACCATAAAAATCCGGGATGAGTCATATACTGTTATCTTATTATCTTGAAATTTAATATGGCACATATTAAACTTCCTAAAACATTTTGTACTTTTTGCTGATTCAGAGTTATGGCTATTCCTTTCTTAATGACCAAGACTTTCACCGGGCGATTATTCTGAGTCCTTACTTGCCCATCTTCATTGATAATGAGCCAAATAGCATCCTGGCTTCCGTAATTATTACCCTATTCAATTCTCATGACCACTGTCTCCAATCTATTTAAAAGAATGTAGATTTTAGATTTTACTCTTCTTGAATCCTATTTTCATTTTGTATATATTTAAAGATTATCATGTGGACATGTCTCTTGCTGTATCCCCTTGAGAATGTAAAGCTTTTGAAAGGTAGGAACTTTTGGTAGGCTTGAGAATACAAAGAAAAGAAAGAGACAGTTCTTGCCCTACAGAGCTCATAGTCTAATGGAAGAAACAATTGAATTAGATAAAAACATGTATTTGGTAAATTTGGGGTAATCTATAGAGAGGATGGTACTAGCTTTAAGAGACTTCAAGGAAGCCAGGAAAGCCAGGGACAGAGATGAAAAGAGAGCATTCACAGTATGGCGAACAACCAGAAAAAATTCCTGGAGAAGAGAAATGAAGTGTGTTGTGGGAGAAAGAACAAGGAAGAGAAGACTGAAAGATGTAGAGGGACCAGGTTATGAAGCTTTTGAATGCCGATCAGAAAATTTTATATTTCATCATCCATAAGATAGGAAACCACTGAAATTTATTGCCAAGAGAAACGATGTGGGTAGACTTGAAGTTTAGGAAAAACACTTAGATAGCTGAGTAGTACTTAGTAAATATTGATAATGATTATGATAATTTATATAAAATAAATGGAAGGTGATTTTGTCTTAAAGGCACTAAAAGCTGAGAAATCAATGGAGCATATTTCAGGTGCTAGGAACAAACCATAAAGAGACAGGGATGAGATGAAATGTTCATTGAGGAATAAAAGACTGGTTATTTTAGCTAAGTCACAGAGTATGGCAAAGTGAATCATCTTTGTTAAGATAGAAAGGATCAAGGTTATGAAGAACTTTAAAGACAAAGGAATAACATAAACATCTGGGTTTATTTATTTATATAGTCAGAGGGCTATCATTTAGTAAAAATCACTTGGGGAGTCAGTGTGGAGAATGTATTGGAGTGAAGATAGATTTGAAGGAAGAGGGCAATTATGAGACAGTTACAAATTAGAGACGATGAAGCTGCAAAGATTTCTACCCCCACCCCTGAAACTACCAGTTTTCTGCTTTCCTTCTAACATTAACTACAGTAGTTTTGTTCAGAAGCTGTTTAAATTTTATGTAATCAAAATTATCCATTGTACTGCCTGTGAATCTCTATATTTCATTTGGTCATAAATTTTTTCCCCATCCATAAATTTCTCAGGTAAATTTCCTCAGTCTTCATTAATTTGCTTATGATATTACTGTTTGCTGTTTAGTCTTCTCCCCCCCCCCAAATTGTGTCCAACTCTTCATGACCCATTTGGGATTTTTTTGGTTTCCCATTTCCTTTTCCAGCTTATTTTGTAAATAAGGAAGCTGACGCAGAAAGGGTGAAGTGACTTACACAGCTAAGTGTAAGTGTCTGAGGCCAGGTTTGAACTCAGGAAGATGAGTCCTGACCCAGTGCTCTGTGTACTGTGCGCAATTAGCTGCCTTGTGTTTTGGAACATCAACATTCTTTTCCAGGCAGCCCTTCACACTTTCTTCCCTTTCAGTTCCTCTTTGTTTGTTGTCTTCTCTTATTAGAATGTATACTCCTGTAGGCCAAGGACTGTCTTTCTGTTTATATTTCTGGCACTTAGTACATAGTAAGCCTTAATAAATGCTTGTTAATTGACTAAGATGGGGAAATTAGGGAATTGTTGACTTTAATGCATATTTGGTCATGGTAGGAGAATTTCTGGCATTATTTTCTTTTTTGGTGAGGCAATTGGGGTTAAGTGACTTGCCCAGGGTCACACAGCTTGTAAGTATAAAGTGTCTGCGGTTGGATTTGAACTCAGGAGCTCCTGATTCCAAGGCTGGTGCTCTATCCACTGCGCCACCTAGCTGCCCCACGGCATTACTTTCTTATAGCCATTTATGAGCAGTTTGCATAACTAATATACTGTTTTACCTGTTATCAGAGATAATTTTCCCCTTCTGCCATCTATTTTTTGATGTTTAAATACTTACCTTCCCTTTTTGCTTTCTCTAAAACTCCCTTTAATCCATCCTGTGTTTGTAAACTAAAGTTTATGTAAGGTTGTTGAAACTGGATTCATTGATTTTTATATACAGAAAGTGGCTAGAGCATAACAAACAGGTTTTTGTTATATCTATGTGATGTTGATTATTATTGGCAGCAGTCCGTATCAGCAGATCTTTGGAAAACTATTGTGACATGAACATAACTAAGGATGGGGGGAAAAAAGTTAGAAAACATGGGTCAGGGGTAGGAAATGAAAAAGATCAAAGACTGCTACATAATACAGAAGTTTTCTACCTGTTATGGTGGAATCAATAACCTAAACCCTTCTTGCAGCAGGCGATGCCTATTTTTTCTTTTTTCTTTCTTTCTTTTTTTGGATAGGCAGTGGGATTAAGTGACTTGCCCAAGGTCACACAGCTAGTAAGTGTCAAGTGTCTGAGGTCATATTTGAACTCAGGTCCTCCTGACTCCTGGGCTGGTGCTCTATCCACTGTGCCACCTAGCTGCCCCTGAGGCTTTTTTTTCTTTAAAAGATACTGAAACTTTGTGAAGACTTCATTGATGCTACAATCAGAGGTCTTAGTTGAATCACTTCCTTTTTTGCCTGAGTAACCAGGCTATTGCTAAGTAATACCTCTTCTTTTTTAAAAATTCTTTAGCAATTTATTAATTTTTAGTTTTCAACATTCACCCCATAAGATTTTGAATTTTAAATTCTCTCTCTCCCTCTCCCCCTCCACCAAGATGATGTGCAATCAGATATAGGCTTGCAAGCTTGTAGAGGCTCTACTTATACATTCATATTAAGCCTATTTTCACATTAGTCATGATGTAAAGAAGACTTAGAACTAAGGGGAGAAACCAGGAGAAAGAAGAAACAAAACAACAAAAGAAAAGGAGAGCAGATAGTCTGCTTCCATCTGCATTCAGACTCCATAGTTCTTTCCCTGGATATGAATAGCATTTTCCACTGTAAGTCTTTTGGAGTTGTCTTAGATCCTTGTATTGCTGTCAAAGTTAGCCATCACATAATGTTACTGTTGCTGTGTATGATGTTCTCCCAGTTCTACTCATTTTACTCAGCATCAGTTCAATATGATATCAGGTTAATATGCACTTTAAAGAAACAAAGTGCATAGAATGGAGGTTTGTGGTTTGATATATAATCCTTGTTTTGTTTTTGCTTGTATTTGTATTCTTTTTTAAAAATTTTATTAATTTATTTTATCAGTAATCACTTCTATATGCTTTTGAGTTTAAAATTTTTCTCCCTCTTCCTCCCTACCACCCTCCCCAAGACAGCACACAATCTGATATAGGCTATACATTTACATTCCTATTAAACGTATGTTCACATTAGCGGTGTAAGTAAAAATTAAAACCAATAGGAGGAACCATCAGAAAGAGGAAACAAAACTCAACAGAAGAGGAAAAAATGGCAATTCAACTTCCATAGTTCTTTCTTTGGATGTGGATAGCATTTTCCATCACGAGGTCTCTGGAGATGTTTTCGATCCTTGTATTGCTGGGAAGGGTTAAGTTTATCAATATTAGTCATCGTGCAACATGGCTGTTCTCTTGGTTCTGCTCATTTCTCTCAGCATCAGACCATACAAGTCTTTCCAGATTTTTCTGAAGTCAGCCTGTTCATCATTTCTTATTCATTGTATTTGTATACCTTGATGACTAATAAACCCATAATATTTTTTTTAAAAAAAGATTAATGAGTTATTTAAAACCTCCCTTGCTAAACTCTTTGAGGAGCTAGGTATCCCCTGGCCCAAAGCCCTTCCATTTGGTTCCCATAAACTCAGTCCCTATGAGATCATAACAGGATACCTGATGCCACTCTCCCCATGGGTGGGAAACATAACAGCCAAAGGCTCCCTCTTATAATTCTGCATTGGATTGGCTCAGAAGATATCAGAAATTTACCATATTCCCATTTTGTTAGAGGAGAAATTAAATGAGTTACAGGAAGAAATAGACAGAAAATTTATACTAATGGGAGAACTCAATCTCCTTCTCTCAGAACTACATAAATTTAACCATAAAATAAACAAGAAAGAAATTAAGGAGATGAATAGAATTTTAGAAAAGTTAGATGTGACCTCTGGAGAAGACTGAATAGGCATAGAAAGGAATATACTATTTTTTTGGCGGTACATGGCACGTACACGAAAATTAACCATGTACTAAAGGCATAAAAACCTCACAATCCAATGCAGAAAAGCAAAACTATTAAATACATCTTTTTCAGATCATGATGCAATAAAATTACAAGTAATAAAGGGCCATGGAAAAATAGACTGAAAATTAATTGGAAACTAAGTAATCTATCCTAAAGAATGAGTGGGTCAAACAACAAATCGTAGAAACAATCAATAACTTCATCCAAGAGAATGACAATAATGAGACAACATATCAAAATTTTTGAGATGCACTGAAAGTGGTTCTTAGAGGAAGTTTTATATCTCTCAATACTTACGTGAATAAAATGGAGAAAGAAGAGATCGATAAGTTGGTCATGCAACTGAAAAAAAAACTAGAAAAACAACAAATTAAAAGTCTCCAATTAAGTACCAAATTGGAAATTTTGAAAACCAAAGGAGAGATTAACAAAATTGAAACTAAGAAAACTATTGAACTAATAAATAAAACTATGAGCTGATTTCATGAAAAAACCAATAAAATAGATAAACCTTTAGTTAATTTGATTAAAAAAGAGAAAAAGAAGAAAGCCAAATAAATTACCAGTATCAAAAAAGAAAAGGGTGAATTCAGAACCAGTGAGGAGGAAATTAAAACAATAACCAGGAACTATTTTTGCCTGTGTGCAAATAAGTTTGACAATCTTCGTGAAGTGGATAGTTACAAAAATATAAATTGCTGGGGCAGCTAGATGGCGCAATAGCTAGAGCACCGGCCCTGTAGTCTGGAGGATATGAATTCAAACGTGGTGTCAAACACATAACACTTACTAGCTGTGTGACCCTGGACAAGTCACCTAACCCCATTGCCTAGCCAATATATATATATATATATATATGTGCACATATGTATATGCACATACATACATATACACACATACGTGTATGCATGTATGTGTATGTATATGTATATTTATATATTTATATATATGTGTATATATATATATATATATGTATATATACATATATAAAAAATACACATACATTGCCAAGATTAATGGAAAAGAAAATAAAATACTTAGCCACATTTCAGAAAAAGAAATTTACAGGGGAATTCTATCAAATTTTTAAAGAATAGCTAATTCCAATACTATATAAAGTATTTGGGAAAAAAGGTGAAGGAGTCCTAGCAAATTCTTTTCAAGTAATGCCTTTTCTAAGTATATCCTCAAGTAGCAGAGACTTGCTAAACTTGATAGTCTGATATTCGTTGTGAGAACTCTCCAACTCTGGTGAGGGAATCTTACTCTTTATCCTGTGTTATGACCTTATTGAAAGAGTTAAAAGCGTTTCACTCAATTTCAGTAATGAATCTAAAACACAGGGGATTGGCCTGAATTAGGTCAAATTCAAAACATGAATACTTTAAGGAAATTAAATTAATTAGAATGTCAATGTATATGTTGAGTACCAAATAATAGCACAAAGAAAATTGATTCTGTTTTATAAATTAGAAATCACGGATGGAAATGGTTTGTGAATCATGTGTGTATATTCTGACCACTAGTTTGTCAGAGTAAGAAAATAATATGTGAAACTGAATCAATTCCACCTTACTTTTTTAAACAAGCTTTTACAAAAAGTCAAGCAGAATAAAGAATGAACTTTCAATGATATTATAACAATTTCTAAAGTAGTTTAAAAATTATGGATTTCAGTTATGTGTATTTCATCCTGTAACTAAGAATGCTTGATTTCTTTTTTAGGTGGTCACTTTTCTTCATACAGTTCTCTTATGTGACAAATTGAACTTTACTACAGCTTTAGTGGTTTGCCCCCTTAATACTGCCCTCAACTGGATAAATGAATTTAAGAAATGGCAAGAGGGATTAGAAGATGACAAAAAACTTAAGGTGCCATAATTTTTTTTTAATTTTTAGATTTTTAAAAACAGTATTTAGCATGTATTTTAAATATATATATTTAATACATAATTTAGGATTTTTAATTGAAGGAAATTGAGTAATATTTTACTGAAACATTTTGGTATTAGTATTCTTTAAGATTAAAAATATCTGTTGATATTTGATATGCATTTTACCAAGGTATCTGAATTAGCAACCATGAAAAGCCCTCAAGATCGAAGTATTTTACTACAAAAATGGCAAGACAGTGGTGGTGTCATGGTCATCGGCTACGAAATGTACCGAAATCTTGTACAAGGACGGAATGTGAAGAGTAAAAAATTAAAAACAGTATTTAATAAAACTCTTGTTGATCCAGGTAAAATAATGTATTTAATACTGAAACTTAAAGTCATATTTCGATTTTATATTTTTGCTAATATTTATTGAACATCCAAAGTAGTGTTGGAGAGGAAAGGAAAGGTATAGAAAAGGAAAATTATAAATTTTGAATTGGATAGAACATCAGAAGTCATCTGTGTCAGCACTCATGTTAGAGATATGGACTATAGCACTTAAGAATAAGAATTAATTTTGCAAAGTGCTTTTTTTCTCATTTAGCTTTCTCAGCAAACTTTTGAGATAGGTGTAATTATTATCTCTATTTAATAATTAAGAAAACCGAGTCTGAGAGAAGTCAAGTGACTTACCCAGGGCCATGGAACTGAGGCAGGATTGAAAGCCAGTTCTTCCTTCATCCAAGTTCAGCACTCTATGCACTATACCACATAGGCTTAAGACACTTTTTATTTTCATTCTTTCTGTTTATTTCTATTATATGCCAGGTGTAGGGAGAGGTGCTCAGAATATAAAGCTACATATATATTAACATATATATAGTTTCTGCTTTAAGGGCTTTTATCCTAATTTACATATTATTGCTATTTTATTCTAATTTACATATTTATCATTTAAATAGATAAATAAGTTCCAGAGGTTAATATTTTCTTTGAGATTCAGAGTCACAACCTGTGCTTTAGGAAAGTCCCTTTGACAAATTTGTGGAGGATACATTGTAATACTAAGAGATTTGTGGCTGGAAAACCAATTAGAAACTATTAGTATAGTTCAGAGAAAAATCAGCAGGAATGACTTTGTCCTCACTTGAAAGAAGAAGTTCAGAGAAAAGGAAAACTGTCATTTGTTGGCATAGGTATGAAATAAAACTGGTCTTCACTTGATAACTAAGCAGGTGATATGAAAAGGTCTCACAAAATATCAATACAAACATGGAAAGTGTTTGTAATTAATAATAAAAT